AATCGCGCGAATTTCGTCGTTGTAATCTCCGCGGATTTGTGCACTAAGTTTCAGCGGAACCTCAACTCTTGCCAAGCCAAAACTCATTACTCTTTCTAATGGTTCTCATTGCATGTAGATATAATACGATATGATACACCAAGCGTTATTGAAACAACAGATTAGCCGAATAATCAATCATGATAATGTATACACACATTCAGACACGATGCAAACTGTTAGAAAGTGTAATTAGTTTTGGTCTTGTAAGGATTTTGCTGAAGCGCAGTATACATCGGATTTCTGTTTAATCATCACAGTCATCATGAGCGAAATTCATTCTTGTTCTGTTATTTTTCGAGTTATTCGTTTCCTCCTTTACGATGAGAACGGGGAAAGAAAAGAGACGGTGAAAGAAAAGAAAAGAGTTAAGATCGTTTTATGTTTCTCCACAGAGGAAAAGCTGTTATACAACAAGTCATATATTGTTGCAATTTATTGTTGCTATTATATCATTAGTCTGCTGTACAGGATTGAATGAATATTAGGTCACCCCTAATTAGAGCACGATCGTCAAGAGCTATTTTTACACATTCTTCCATCCTCATTAGAACAGATCTTTCGAGATATTGTTGTTTATCTTCGATCGCGGATAATTATACTCCTGTAACTCTGGAGACCCTTGCACTGCGAGCATCGCGAAAGTTGCAACCACCGCGCAAAACTAGAATGTAATGTATAATATTAAGAGCTTAAGTGTATAATTTATTTTCATTGCGTGCTACGCGTACCAGCACTTTATCGCAATCCGTCATTAAACAAGTTAGAATGTAAAGAATGATACGTGGTATATGCGATAAAAAGAGTAGTGATTATTTTACGATAACAAGGATAAACTTGAAAAAACAATTTCCCTGATCGTTATTTGTGATATGAGGCATGACCAACGAGTGAACGAGGCTAGACGAGGAAGTAACAAGGTGGAGACGAACCTTCCAGAGTAACTTGCTGCCGAAGCAAAAGAGCCTCAGACCGGTGAACTTCAGTGGATGATGCATCGTTTGCAAAATGAATTGACAAAGCTGCAAATAAACACAAGCGCGACTTTTACAAACGAGATCTCTCACAAACGCATCGCTTGTGCTTCTCGTTTATATAAAAGTAATCACTCACCTCTTGGTGAATATCGGCGTATCGCAGAATAATTGTCAGCTGATGAATTGTCTCGCATATTTTGTGAGCCTGAAAATAGGAAATAAACGCCGCTACTACATTGACACTACATTTTGTCTGAGAATCGCGCGCGTGATATTACCTTAACGCTGACACTCTCGCAAATGTGATTAACGGAGTAGAGTCTCATGATGCATACTAAGCCCCATATGCAGTTGGCGAGCCAACTCCTCATTGATATCTCTTTTTGACTGAGCAGCATTATGCAAAAATAATGAACCAGTGCTGCTGATACTAAGAGACAGGTCAACATCTCCAAAGTAATCTGCGTTCCGAATATCAGATTCAGTTCATGCGCAATGCGACATAATTCTAGCTGAAGATGCCTGTTGAAGAACAGATCTTGTTACGGCAGAATGTAGAAATCGCGAGAGTATCGTAGGAAAAGGAGGGTATCGGCTCGTACAATCGATTATTTTTCAAATTGGAATATAGTGTCTTATCACGTGTTTCGTGTTATTATCAAGTCAATAATTTATATAAGCATGCAGGTATACCGATTTACATTGAGGTCCAGAACATTCGCTTGTAACTATCGGCATACAAGGTATGTCGGTAAACAGCAACCACTGGTTTCTTCCATGTACACCTCAAGCCGTGCTCCTCGCTCACCAGCAGTCCTCGTACATTTTCGTTCAGTTTGTCGAATCTGGTGCCTATATACCTGTATTGCAAAGCGTATCTAGAATATTACAGAATGAAATCTCTCCGATTCGGACTCGTACGGTAAATTTTAACAGGACGAGTACACAAAATCATTTCTATTTTTATTAACGAAAATATACAGCAGATATTCTGATTAAATGAGGACACGATCGACTAAACTAGCAAGCAAATTATAATTACTGTATACAGACCACATGACGAAGATAAACATCAAGTCCACGAATAGGTTAACGTGAAAGCAATGATTTATCAAAAGAGGTATGAGATACGCCCAATTAGACTGCATTACGCTCCGCCACCAGAAGGAATCGTGAATATTTACGAAGAGTATGTAAACGACCCATCCAGCTACTACCCGTTTTGACCACATGTGCACCTCTTGGTACATTTTTGGAATGCCCAACTCTTCCAACGTATCGTCCACTGTTGCGAGCTTCTTAATGCACGTCATTAATTTCTGAAACGTTACGTGAGATGCACGTGAGATGAAGAGGAGAGAGATTATTTAAAAAATAACACTAAGAATTTAATTTAATTATTTCTTCTTTGTCGACGCGAATTTCTTCTTTTTGCGAGTTCTGTACTTTTCAACGACAAAGTTTGCCTCTCGACAAGCGTCTTTCTTTAGAATCACTTGCATGGGAGAGATTTTTACTTCAAACAACATTACGATCCTCGGATGTGGCGCAGTAAACTCGCTGACACCCGAACAGTCCGACATTGTCTTTGCACGTTTCCATTACGCGGTCGTACCTTGTCATAACACAAACCGATGATTACGGACGTGAGTGTAGTGAGCATATTGATCTCATGCTGGATTATCGAAAGGGTTGTCCGAAATATCATGTTCCACATAAAATACGTCATTATGCAGTAATAGAAACAGCCGTAAGCGCACCACAGCATCAAAGAATACAAAGCGCTGAAGCACGGTTTCACTCGACTCGTAGGATAGATCCCCAAGCCGATAATAAACCTGATGACGAAGAGAGGATGTACGCCTTGTTGGATGGTAGTCGACGTGGCCATCGTCTGCCGCAAGCTAACAACGAATGTCCGTTGAAACTCCCACTTACCGTATACATTGCTCTGTGTTACGTCGACGCGACACGAAAACACGTATCCTCGTAATCATAATATGTTCATTGCACAAGCACTTTCGCATATTAAAACAATTGATCTATCCTGATGAAAGAGATCACTCGTTATTGAAATCATCCTTCATGCCGTTTTTCAAGCGACTCATTGAAATTCCGTCGCCAACGTGGACGTATTTTTTGTGTGAACATAAGCTCTGTTAGAAAGAAGCTTTTTTATTCTTATATCTATTTGGAATAATCAGAGTGTGTTGTTATGCATGTGCGCCAAATTATAATTATTTTAGTGAACCTCGTTTTTATTTCATTTGCTTGATTGCAGTTATTATTATGACCGTCATGAACCATTGTACTAAATGAAAAAAATTGTTTTGTCATACTTAGAATTTTGAAACTTAATATAAATAAATAAATAAATATATATATATATATATATATATATATATATATATGTATGTATGTATGTATATGTGTGTGTCTGTATGTATGTGTATGCCTGAAAATTACTACAGACCATATGCATAAATTTGTGGCCAAAATTGAAGAATCAGAATACGGAAATCGTTAAAGGCTTCTGCAGTAATTGTTGCAGGCATTGCGTAATCTATAAATAATTGCGTAATTAGAAAAATATATAATTTCGCATGAGAAACCATTTGTACGTCAGAATTGTGTCTTACATTTTGTTTAATCTCTGCATCCAGAGAAAGATTCGATAATCTGTTGAGAAATACTTCACCACCGTTCGCTAATATTAACAAAAGTCATTTAATAATTAGGTAAAAAATTGTATTTAAAAGTTATATATACAAATTAAAAAAATTATGTATTCAAATTAAAATATGCAATTACAAAGAATAATTATTTTTAAGAGTGAAAGGATCAGATGAAATTGTATTATATTTCTAAAGTTATATCATTTAACGGTTTAAAAAGATAAACAACAATATTAACTGTTTATATGCCTTTCTGTAAAAGGTGTAAAAATACCTTAACACAAAGTTGTTCACAGACGTAGTTAAAAATGAATGTTCTGTTAAATTATCAGCAAACTATTAGGGCTATGTTCATCACATCGTAGACCGCGTTTACATGTAGCAAGTAGCTCACCACGTATGGCATAGACAAATCGAGTAGCAGTTTAGTTGGCACAATGCGATCCAAGAATCACAGACTGTCAATGGCATCCATCGCAATAATCAAGCTATTCTATCCGAGAATTAGACGTATAATTCTCACGCGCAATTCCGCGTAATCCTTTGGCGTTCCGAGCTGCTCCAACGTATCGTTTACGATGTTTAGTTTCTTCAGATAGTTCTTAAATCTTTAAAAGAAGAGCGTTGCAAAAAGTTTTCTTTCCACCATTTTTAGAAGTCTCGCGTGAGCAACATCAAGTCCGTTTTACCATACGTTGTTGTGATACAAAGTGAGCAACGCGGAAATCACCGCGAAAACAAAGCTGATTTGAACATTCAAGGACAAGTCTAGCGTGAATTCGCGAAGAAAAGTTGTTGCCTCGAGGACGACGCACATATAAATCAACCAGAACACCAAAATGTACAGTATTGTGAAATAATTTTGATCGGCCGCGATATTCGAACAGTCCGAGGACGCACATACATATTACGGACAAGAGCGGACAATAGGAATGCTTAAACAATTTCAATGAAGACTATAGTTCCCTCTGATACGCTAAGTTCCCTCTGATGACGAAATGATACGCTAAGCGCTATTGAAACGACAGTTTAGCCAAAGAATCTATCATGATGATGTATATGCACATTCAGGTACGATTCAAACTGTTGGAAAGAGTAATTAGTTTTGGTCTTGTAAGAATTTTGCTGAAGCGCAATATAAATTGGATTTCTGTTTAATCATCACAATCATCATGAGCGAAATTCATTCTTGTTCTGTTATTTTTCGAGTTATTCGTTTCCTCCTTTACGATGAGAACGGGGAAAGAAAAGAAACGTTAAGCTTGTCTAATGTTTCTCCACAGAGGAAAAGCTGATATACAACAAGGCAGATGTTGTTACAATTTATTGTTGGTACAGTATATCATTAGTCTTCAGTACAGGATTAAATGAATATGTCATCCCTAATTAGAGCACAATCGTAAAAAACGATTTTTATACATTCTTAAATTCTCATTAGAACATATCTTTCGAGATATTGTTGTTTATCTTCGATCGTGCATCATTATATTCCTGAAACTCTGGAGACCCTTGCACTGCGAGCATCGTGGAAGTTGCAACCACCGCACAAAACTAGAATGGAACATATTAAGAGCTTAGTACAGTTTATTTTCATTGCATGCTATGTATACCATCACTTTATCGCAATCCGTCGTTCAACAAGTTAGAATGTGGAGACTGATACGTTTTTATAGCATATACGTGGTATATGCTATAAAAAATGTAGTGATTATTTTATGATAACGGGGATGAACTTGATAGAATAATTTCCCTAATCGTTATTTGTGATATGGGGCATGACTAACGAGTGAACGAGGATAGACGAGTAACTAACAAGGTAGAGACGAACCTTCCAGAGTAACTTGCTGCCGAAGCAAAAGAGCCTCAGACCGGTGAACTTCAGTGGATGATGCATCGTTTGCAAAATGAATTGACAAAGCTGCAAACAAGCACAAGCGCGACTTTTACAAACGAGATCTCTCACAAACGCATCGCTTGTGCTTCTCGTTTATATAAAAGTAATCACTCACTTCTTGGTGAATATCAGCGTATCGCAGAATAATTGTCAGCTGATGAATTGTTTCGCTAATTTTGTTAGCCTGAAAATAGTAAATCAACGTCGCTACCACATTGACGCTATATTTTGTCCGAGAATCGCTAGCGTGATATTACCTTAACGCTGATACTCTCGCAAATGTGATTAACGTAGTAGAGTCTCATGATACATATTGAGCTCCACATAACGTTACCGAGGCAATCCCTCATTAATATGCCTTTTCGACTGAGCAGTATTGTGCAAAAATAATGAGCCAGTCCTGTGAGCCCTAAGAGATAGATCAACATCTCCAAAGTCATCTGCGTTCCGAATATCAGATTCATTTCACGCGCAATGCGACATAATTCTAGCTGAAGATGCCTGTTGGAGAACAGATTTTGTTACGGCAGAATGTAGAAATCGCGAGGGTATCGTAGGAAAAGGAATGTATCGGCTCGTACAATCAATTATTTTTTAAATTGGAATATAGTGTCTTATCGTGTGTATTAATATCAAGTCAATAATTTATACAAGCATGCAGGTGTACCGATTTACATTGAGGTCCAGAACATTCGCTTGTAACTATCGGCATACAAGGTATGTCGGTAAACAGCAACCACTGGTTTCTTCCATGTACACCTCAAGCCGTGTTCCTCGCGCACCAGCAGACTTTGTACATTTTCGTTCAGTTTATCGAATCTGGTGCCTACATACCTGTATTGTAAAGCGTGTCTAGAATATTACAGAATTGTAATAGAATATTACAGAATATTACAGAATAAAATCTCTTCGATTCGGACTCGTACGGTAAATTTCGACAGGACGAGTACACAAAGTCATTTCTATTGGTATTAAACAAAAATATACAGCAGATATAGTGAATAAATGAGGACACGATCGACTAAACGAGGAAGCAAATTGTAGTTACTGTATACAGACCACATGAGGAAGATAAACGTCAAGTCCACGAATAGGTCGACGTGAAAACAATGATTCATCAAAAAAGGTATGAGATACGCCCAATTAGACTGCATTACGCTCCGCCACCAAAACAAATGGTAAGTATTTGTGAAGAGTACGTAAACGACCCATCCAGCTACTACCCGTTTTGACCACATGTGCATCTCTTGGTACATTTTCGGAATACCCAACTCTTCCAACGTATCGTCCACTATTGCGAGCTTCTTAATGCACGTTTTTAATTTCTGAAATTACGTGAGATGCACGTGAAGAAGAGAGAGATCACTTAGAAAATATCACTAAGAATTTAATTTAATTATTTCTCCTTTGTCGATGCGAATTTCTTCTTTTTGCAAGTTCTGTGCTTTTCAACGACAAAGTTTGCTTCTTGACAAGCGTCTTTCTTCAGAATCACTTGCATGGGACAGATTTTTATTCCAAACAATATTACGATCCACGGATGTCGCGCAATAACTCGCTGACACGCTAACAGTCCGATATTGTCTTTGCACGTTTCCATTACGCGGTCGTACCTTGTCATAACACAGGCCGATGATTACGGACGTGAGTGTAGTGAGCATATTGAGCTGATGCAGGATTATGGGAAGGATTTCCCGAAATGTCAATTTCCATTTAAAAAACATCATTATGTAGTAATAGAAGCAGCCGGAACTGCACCACAGCATCAAAGAATACAAAACGCTGAAGCATGGTTTCACTCTATTCGTAGGATAGATCCCCAAGCCGATAATAAACCAGGTGACGAGGAGAGGTTTTACGCCTTGTTGGATGGTGGTCAACGTGGCCATCGTCTGCCGCAAACTAACTAGGAATGTGCGTTGAAACTCGCATTTGCCGTATGTATCGCTGTGTGTTACGTCGACGCGACACGAAAACCCGGATCCTCGTGATCACAATATGTTCGTTGCACAAGCACTTACGCATATTAAAACAATTGATCTATCCTGATGAAAGAGATCACTCGTTATTGAAATCATCCTTCATGTCGTTATTCAAGCGACACTCATTGAAATATCGCCGCCAACGCGGACGTATTTTTTGTGTGAACAGAAGCTCTATTAGACAAAAGGTTCTTTATTATCTATTTGGAATAATCTTACAGTGTGTTGTTATGCATACGCACCAAATTATAATTATTTTACTGAATCTCGTTTTTATTTCATTTGCTTGATTGCATCTCTTATTATGACCGTCGTGAAGTATTGTACAAACTGGAAGAAATTGTCTTATCATACTTAGAATTTTGAAACTTAATATACATAAATAAATAAATATATATATATATATATATATGTGTGTGTGTGTGTGTGTGTGTGTGTGTGTGTGTGTGTGTGTGTGTGTTTGCCTGTGTGTATGTATATGCCTGAAAAGGACTACAGACCATACGCATAAATTTGTAGCCGAAATTCAAGAATCGGAACACGAAAATCGTTAAAGGCTTTTGCAGTAATTGTAGCAGACATTGCGTAATCTGTAATAATTGCATAAATATATATATATATATATATATATATATATATATATATATAATTTCGCATAAGCAAACATTTATGCGTTAGAATTGTGTCTTACATTTTGCTGAATCTCTGCATGCGAGAATAAGATTCGATAATCTGTTGAGAAATACTTCGCTTCCCTTCGCTTAATATTAACAGATCTCATTTAATAGTTATATAAAAAATTATAAATTAAATTAAAATTATATGAGAAAGTTATATATACAAATTTAAAAAATTATGTATTCAAATTAAAATATGCAAATTACAAAGAATAATGAATTTTAGGTGGGAAAATGTCAGATGATATTTTATTATATTTTTAAAATTACATCATTTAACGGTTTAAAAAGGTAAACAACAAATTGCTGATATCGTTTAATTGTTTGCAACATGCCTCTCTGTAAAAGGAATAAAAATACCTTAACACAAAGTTGTTCACAGACGTAGTTAAAAATGAATGTTCTGATGAATTATCAGCAAACTATCAGGGCTATGTTCATCACATCGTAGACCGCGTTTACATGTAGCAAGTAGCTCACCACGTATGGCATAGACAAATCGAGTAGCAGTTTAGTTGACACAATACGATTCAAGAACCACAGACTGTCGATGGAATCCATCACAAGAATCAACCGTTCCATCCAATAATTTGCCATATAGTTCTCACGCGCAATTCCGCGTAATCCTTTGGCGTTCCGAGCTGCTCCTACGTGTCGTTTACGATGCTTAGTTTCTTCAGGTTCTTAAATCTATGAAAGAACAGCGTTGCGAAAAGTTTTTTTTTCCACCATTTTTAGAAGTTTCGTGTGAGCAACATCACGTTATGTTTTACCATGCCTTGTTGTGATACAAAGTGAGCAACGCGGAAATCACCGCGAAAACAAAGCTGACTTAAACATTTAAGGGCAAGTCTAGCGTGAATTCGCCGAGAAAAGTTGTTGCCTTGAGAACGACGCACATATAAATCAACCAGAGCAACAAAATGTACAGTATTGTGAGGTATAATCTCGGTCGGCTGCGGTGTTCGAACAGTCCGAGTTCGCACATGCACATTACAGACAAGAGCGGACAATTTGGATGCTTGAACATTTACCATGACGACTGTAGTTTCCTCGATTAAACTAAGGGCTCGCTTCGCGTCTGGGTTATCGTTTGTCTTTCCATAACATGAAGCATTCACGTGGTTGGTAAGATAATTCAACAATAAATTCAGTAATGAATTTCGTCTGCTCTTATGCGGATTAAATGAATCTATCTCAAGAATCGATACATAATTATATGTTACGCATAAGTGATTCTCTTTATTTCTTTTTTCTTATAAGTCATTCAGTCCTTTTAAAAAGATGAAACGGTCAAGGAATAAACAGTGAGTGATTAAAGTCGACGAATGGTCGAGTACATGTTTTATTGTTCATAAAACAACAAAATACAACTTGTGTATCTTCCTGAAAAAGTGCAAACACGACGTACAGGAATCAGCGTTTTTACATACTCCATTTTCGTGTAGTGTGTTTAGTCTTCATTGTTCATAAATCGTTCGAAATTATATTATTGTTTGCATGTTTCTTAGAGCCACTCATTTGTATTATAATGATCAAAACGGTGACTATTGATGTGAAGAACTAAAACAAGAGAGCTCTTACCTTTCGATTAAAGAAAACATTACTGAAATATAAGATATATAAGGTAAAAGTACCAAATGCTCCGACACATATCTAATTCTATAGGCTCTTTTCTATCATATATTTTATCATCTATTATATCATATATTATACTTGCGCTACATAATGATAACGGTCCTATTGTTAAAAGGTACAGTGTCAGTCCACTGGACATTCCTATTGTTTCAATTTTTAGGGAAAAACATTTAAACTTTTAATATAGAATAAGTGCACATATTTATTCTATGTTGTGTGTGCGCAAAATTTTAAATATTCGCATTTATAAACCAAAACTACAAGAACGTCCAGAGTTAAGTATCAGTGTTATTAGTGTGCAGGCATTGTGACACTTTTACCTTAAATTAAATAAAAAATATCAGACTAAATCGTATATCTATCTATAAAATATAAGCATACTTTGCGAATGAAGTTGTTGCCGAAGTAGAAAAGTCCCATGCCAGAAAACTTTACTTCCCTTTGTTTTATTTGCATTATAAATTGTAAAACCTGCGTTTAAATAGATATAGCGGGTATAAAATACGAAATGCTTAGGATAATAGATACACAGTACAAGATCTTACGGTGTAACTCACCTGTTCGCGTAAATCTTCGTTGATAACGTTGTTCGACAATTTATATAATAGCATAGTCGTTTCGTTCGCCTGAAATTACATCGATACAATGTCAAAGTCTTTCAACACGTTTTGCGTGGAGATTAAATTTTGCTGCAAATAATAGTTGACGTAGATAAGTAAGATTTGATTGCCTTGTCACAAACGGTCTGGCAAATATGATTTAAAGCGAGAAGTTTCATGGTGAACACCATGATCCAAACGTAGATGGTCAGGTTTGCTAGGACTAGAAACATTGTATCCGTATCATTGTCCGCGTACATAATGTAAAATTCGATAAACATTTCCACTAAAACCGCGAATAAGGAAGCCATCTCCAACGTCAATTGCACACTGAACACTTTGTTCAGCTCTCGTGACAGCCGACTCAGCTGCAAATGAACGTGCCTGCAATCAAGCCATAATTTCCTCGTTAATTCGGTTAATTCAAAGTTTGACACAGTCGAACAATAACTTAAATAATCTATATAGAGATTATCGAAAATTACATGATAATCCAGACGCGTCGACTGCACTCCTCGGTTTCTACAACTCTCTTTCGAACGATAAAAATGGACGTGTTCTTTGCTCCGATGTGTTCCGCGTCGTTTTCCAGGAAATTGCGAATGTGCTTGTTGACTCTCTCAAATCTGGAGCCCATGTACCTGAATTGAACATGTTTTATAGCGAAATCTTATGGCCAGCAACGGAATATGTAATTTTCTTAAATTTCTAAGCTATTTTTTAAATACGCTTTTCTTGAGATTCATTAGAGGCTTGCAAAAATTTGTTGGATATTCACAATATTTCTTTCGTTAATATTAGAAATGAAATAGTACATGCGTTTAATATTAACGATACTCCTTTATATTTCATGCCACTTGTCGGACAGTCGTTCCGTATCTATAAAACGACTCTCTAATATCTTTTAAACCGATAAAATTATCCACAATCCGAGGAATTTTTACCAGCCCTTTATTTCTTCATCTGTTCAATTGCACTATTCGAGGTAATTTTTCCAATGTATGATATATATACTAACCCCAAAACAGTTCCCAATATCACGCTGTTAATTGTACCCATGTGCGGTAGAAAATTCTCCACTAATGCAATACAGACAGACATGATGTTAAATTTGTCCTCATCCTCAACCAAAGCGTCCATCCCATTCAAGAGATTGCTAGATACAATCCATACAATTATTACTGCAATCATCCACTTGTACAACTTCTGGTATTCCTTGGGCGTCCCAAGGGCTTCTAGCGTGTCGTCCACGATAGAAAGTTTCCGTAGGAACGTTTTCAGGTCCTTGAAAAGACAACATTACGATCGATTACGTGACGTGGCAAAAGTTGTCGATACGAAAAGCAACACAAATGCAGACATTAACTACATGCAACACACTACATGCTACAATAATTTCAACAGCGCTCCCAGCTAAAGAACTCCTCTGTTTGTTTCCTAAGAATCCGATCAATCTAAAACGAACAATTTAAAGTAGTCCGCACCTTGAAACGAAACAGGCTGACCACCATTGATCCATACGAGGACATTACGATTATTATACTAGGCCAATATATAACGAACAGATCCTCAATGTCAATAAGTAGGTAACAAGCGATATATGTGTAGGTGCTCCATACGATCAGGAAGTACAGGCAAGTGAAGTACGGCCTGGGTCGTCCAAGTGGGTACTCGAAAACGCACAAGCTGCAGAACGCGCCGATGATCAATAACGGCGCTAATGCCGCCTGGATCGTCTTCACCATGGTTGATTCACAGCAGATTTCGAATTACATTTCGCTGTGCGACACGAGCTCGGGAAAAATTCGCCGCAATAATGACGGAGGATTCTCTTTTGCTTCTTGTCGTCGTTGCACGACAAACTTTTCGAAAGACTTGGCCGGGAATTACGCCGCGACATGCATCGATATCGCCATCTGACTGGTGAACATTGAGCGCGAGAGCGAGCGAACGTATGATTAGATCGCATTCTTTCTTTGCGGAATTACTAGTTTTTCGCATGCAATATTATTACGTTTAAACGACAAGTGAGCTTGTTCGCGATATCGTGCCATTTCTCCGCTGGGGCTCGGATGTATTCAGCGTGTGGGATCGAATTGCGGGACTCGGAAGAGGAGGTGGGAGCACCACAAAACGTCGTAAGTCGATTCACGCCATTAATCGCACGAATTTCGTCTTTGTAATCTCCGCGGATTTGTGCACTAAGTTTCAGCGGAACCTCAACACTTGCCAGGCCAAAACTTACTAGTCCTTTTAATCGTATGTAGACATAATACGATATAATACGCTAAGCGCTATTGAAAATACGACGACGGATTAGCCGAATAATCAAACATGGATAATATATACGCACATTCAGACACGATGCAAACTGTTAGAAAATATAATGGGTTTTGGACTCGTGAGTGTTTTGCTGAAACGCAGTGCACATCGGATTTCTGTTTAAACATCACAGTCATCATGAGCAAAATTCATTTTCGTTCTATTTTTTTTTTATTATTCTCGTTCTTTTATTCTTATTTAGTTATTCGGTTCCTTGTTTACAATGAGAACGGGAAAGAAAAGAGATGTTGAGCTTATCTGATTTTTCTCTATGGAGGGAAAGCTGGTATGTAATAAAACACTATGACATATTGTTGCAATTTATTATTGGTATGGTATATTGTTAGTCCGCAGTACAGGAATGAATGAAAATTATGTCATTTCTAATTAGAGCACAATCGTGAAGCGCAAATTTCACTCATTTTTACGTACTCATCAAAATAGATTTTGAAGTATTGTTTATCTTCGATTGCAGATCATTGTACTCCTGTAATTCTGGAGACCATTGTACTACGAGCATCACGAAAGTTGCGATCCACGCACAAAACTGGAATGGGACGTATCAAGAGCTTAAGAATACTTCATTAAAATAGTAAGAATAGAGTAATTAATTTTCATCGCGTGCTATTCATTGCGTACTAAGCATTTTATCGCAATTCGTCGTTAAATAAGTTAGAAAGTGGAGACTGACACGTGATATATGCGATAAAAGGATAGTAATTATTGTGCGATAACGAAGATGAACTTGAAAGAGCAATTGAAAAATCGTTATTTGTGATACGAAGCATAACGTACGAGTGAACGAGGAGAGACGAAGAAGTAACAAGGTGGAGACGAACCTTCCAGGGTAACCTGCTGCCGAAGCAAAAGAGTCTTAGACCGGTGAATTTCAGTGGATGATGCATCGCTTGCAAAATGAATTGACAAAGCTGCAAACAGGCACAAGCGTGAGTTTTACAAACGTGATCTCTCACAGACGCCTCGCTTGTGCTTCTCGTTTATATAAAAGTAATCACTCACTTCCTGGTGAATATCGACGTACCGCAGAATAATTGTCAGCTGATGAATTGTTTCGCTAATTTTGTTAGCCTGAAAACAGAAAATGTCGCTATTACATCGACACTATATTTCTTTCGAGAATCGCGCGCGTAATATTACCTTAACGCTGACGCTCTCGCAAATGTAATTAATGGAGTAGAGTCGTATGATGCATATACAGGCCCATACACTGGTGCTGACGCAGGTCCTTATTGATACGTGTTTCCGTTCGAGCAGCATTATGCAAAAATAAAACGCCAGTATCGTTAAGAATAAGAGATAGGTCAACATCTCCAAAGTCATCTGCGTTCCGAATATCAGGTTCAGTTCATGCGCGATGCGACATAATTCTAGCTGAAGATGCCTGTTAAAGAACAGATCGCACAATTGATTATTTTCTAAAGTGGAATAGAGAGTCCCACCGCGTGTTTCGTGCTATTATCGAGTCAATAATTCACATAGGTGTGCAGGTGTATCAATTTACATTGAGGTCCACAACACTCGCTTGTAATTATTGGTATATAAAGTATGTCGGTAAACAGCAACCACTGGTTCCTTCCACGTACACCTCAAGCCGTGCTCCTCGCTCACCATCAAACCTCGTACAAGTTCGTTCAGTTTGTCGAATCTAGTGCCTATATACCTGTGTTGCGAAGCGTATATAAGTGTATAGAATGTTACAGAAAGAAATCTCTCCGATTCGGACGCGTACGGTAAATTTGAATAGGACGAAATGACAGAATTGTTTCCTTTGTTGTTAAACGAAAATGTATAGCAGAGATTAAATGAGCACACAGTCGATTAAACGAACAAGCAAATTGTAGTTACTGTGTACAGACCACGTGAAGAAGATAAACGTCAAGTCCACGAATAGATTGACGTGAAAGCAATGATTTATCATATAAGGTATGAGATACATCCAATTAGATTGCCTCTTTCTCGACCACCAGTAGCAATCGTAAGTATTTATGAAGAGTATGCAAACGATCCATCCAGCTACTACCCGTTTTAACCACATGTGCATCTCTTGGTACATTTTCGGAATGCCCAACTCTTCCAACGTATCATCCACAGCGGCGAGTTTCTTAATGCACGTGCTTAATTTCTGAAACGTTACGTGAGATGCACTTGAAGAGGAGAGAGATCACTTAAAAGATATCACTAAGAATTAAATTTAATTATTTCTCCTTTCTCGACACGAATTTCTTCTTTCTGCGAGTTCTTTGGTCTTCAGTCGCGAAGTTCGCGGGTCTCGACAGGCATCATTGTGGCAGAATCACTTGCATGGGAGAGGTTTTCACTCTAAACAGCATTACGATCGTCGGATGTCGCGCAGCAAACACGCTGACACGCGAACAGTCCGACATTGTAGTTGCACGTTGCCATTACGCGGTCGTACCTTATCATAACATAAGCCGATGATTATGGACGTGAACGTAGTGAGCATGTTGATCACATTCAGGATTGTCGAAATGGTTCTTCGAAATATTATGTTCCATGTAAACATCATTATTACGCTGTAATAGACGTAGCCGTAAGCGCACCACAGCATCAAAGAATACAAAACGCTGAAGCATGGCTTCGTTCGATTCATAGGATAGATCCCCAAGCCGATAATAAACCAAGTGACGAGGAGGGGTTGTACGCCCTGTTGAATGGTGGTCGACGTGGCCATCGTCCGCCGCAAACTAACAACGAATGTGCGTTGGAACTCTCATTCGTCGTATGCATCGCTCTGTGTTACGTCGACGCAACACGAAAACACGGATCCTCATAATCACAATATGTTCGTTGCACAAGCACTTAAGCATATTAAAGCAATCGATCCGTCCTAATAAAAAAGATCACTCCTTATTGAAATCATTCTCCATACCGCTAATCAAGTATTTTTCATTGAAACGCCGCCGCCAACGCGGACGTATTTTTTGTGTGTTTTCACGCAAGACAAACACGTTTCATGTCGCTGTTTAATTGTCGTTCCCAATAACGCGTACCGTAATATCTGAAATGTATAAAAATACAGTAACCACATCGCTCAGCTCGTATACATACACATAATGTCGAGATATTATTACATCGATACATTTATTGAGGTGATGTGTCTGAACTCAGTAATAAAATTTTCTCGCCATTCTTAAAATTGGTTGAACTTTCTTTAATTAAGTAAAAATAGCAGATTGTCTAGGATAAGCAGAATTTGTAGAATTTTATATGTTGTATCAATTGGAATATTTTGATTTATGCTTCTGCATACTTATGTTCTTCATTATTATTTTAAGGTGCAGTGAAAAATAGCAATATAAATAACATTAAGAAGTACTAGTAAATTTGTTTTGATTTTCTTTACAACATTATTTATTATGGATAAAAAGATATGATTCCATTTAAAAAAGCGAGGATTATTTCTTCTTGTCACGAGAGAAGAACGTTTTCGAAATTTTTATTATTGCATTATATTGCCGTTTAAAAACTGATCAACTGTATTTAGAACTTGTTCTTGCCTGATTATTGTAACTGGTAGAAATATAGTGGACACCGTTACGGTAAACAGCCTGTATATATCTTACTTGTTTAGTAAAAAAGGAAGAAAAAAATTCGAGTTGCGAAAAATTAAGTGAAGTTCGGTAGGGAAGTAATTAAGCAATCTCTCTCTTATTTTTTAAATATTTTTATATAAAATATATATTTTTATCTTACAAGAGTGTGTATGGCGGTTTTTCACGCATTATGTGATGTTTCGTTTATTGAGTTTGTTGTTGTAAGTCGTTGTGTTTATTCCGCTTCAAAACCCAATGACGATAGGCCCAACTTTAGTAGAACTCATTTGCACTACGATGACTACGAATGCGATGATTGTCAGAAAAAACTGGAAGAAACGTGTAAATAAGTTACTACACGAGTAGAGAAATATTCAATGTAAGATAAGTATGATAAGTAACGTATAATAAAAAAGAATGAGGAACAAACTTTTCGCAGAAAACCGTAGCCGAAACGGAAGAAACCCATTCCCATGAACTTCAATGGATGATGTATCAGTTGCAATGTAAATTGATAAATCTGTATCACATGAAATCGTTAAAACGTAGGTTAAATAATTTACTCCAGAGAATCGCTAGTTATTTTTAAAATTTATTTTTTACCTCGTCGCGAATATCAGCGTACAGATTAACATCGGTTAATTGATGGATTGACTCTTTAACTTTGTTGGCCTGAAATCGTTAATTAATTAATACGTATATTTTTATTAAAGAATGTCATAATGCTCTTAGATTCAGCCAAGATTAAGAGTGTGCAATGAAATTCACGAATTTTGCAACATTCGCAAAGCAGCTTTCTCTGCTGAATGTAGCAGTTGCGTGCCATTGGATTTACCTTAACACTGACAGTCTCACAGATGTAATTCAAGTAAAAGATCTTAATCACACATGGAAGTGCCCACATTTCAGCGTCGAAGAAAACTCGTATGCCGTTTGTGTAATCCATCGTCATTATATTCATATAAAGATAATAACTTATTGCTGTTATTAATATCAAATAGGCTGCCATTTCCAAAGTTACCGGTATCCCATACATTGCGTTTAATTCGCGCGCGATTTGATTCAATTCTAAGTGCAGATGCCTAGCAAAATGAAAGACAAAAGGACGCGTGAATAGAAGAAGAAAATGACAGATAATTACGCATAATTTATTATTGAACCGAATTTCAGTCAAATCTCGAATACTGCATTTCCATTGTTAGATCAAACGAATGATCCACCCGTACGCGTTCATGTACCGATTTACATTGAGGTCCACAACACGTGCTTGTAATTGTCAGTACACATGATATATCGATGAGTGCTCGGTGCAGCGTTCGTCCATGCGCGTCTCAATCCATATTCCTCTTTCACAAGCAGACACCTTACGTGCTCGTTCACCTCGTCGAATTTGGTGCCGACGTACCTGTGTCGTAGAAAAAGGAAATTCGTTCTAGATAACCTCGTATTGCAAATATCGAAGAAACAGTTTTTCCGACGTAAAAACCTTTTCTTAAAAATAATATTATCGATAAAATTATCGAGTAATATAGTAGTATATGGAGTATAATAAAAGTATAGTGGAACGACTCTTGGCAATTTCGAGAGAATATAACATAATAACGTATATAATATAAAAACCGGGCGAATACAATAAAGTATAATAATGTTACGTACCATACGAGAAGTATAAACGACAAATCCACAAACGTGTTGACGTGACGATAGTGATTTATAATATACGGCAGAATCAACTTCCTGTGATCGTTTTCTATGAAAAGGCACCATACCATGTCGTTTATATTTATAATGAGACAGTATGCGACCCATGTGACTATCACTCCTTTTACTCGCGTTTGCAGCTTTTGATACGTTTTCGGAGTGCCCAGCTCTTCCAACGTATCGTCTACAGCAGTGAGCCTTTTCATACATATCCTGAATTTCTGATTCGCCAAGAATGCAACATATATAATGACACAATATAATCCAATACGATACAATATGACACAATATGATAGAATTTAACACAGGGTAGCTGAAAAGTCTATTATTGGTTTGAAAAATCCGTGTTTTTTACAGATAACATATGTTTAAAATTCTTTTTGCAGATTATATATATATATATATATATATATATATATATATATATATATATATATTAGAATCCTAGAAAATTTAAAATGATAACGGACTTTTGTTCGGTTTTGACAACCGACTTTACTCTGTGTATATGATATTTGCATATGTACGTGAGTTCATATATACATGAAAAGAATTTTTTAGTGAGAACTAGCTTAAACTACCCGGCGTTGCCCGGGCTTCTTATATTTAGAACTTATAAACTTAATTATCATCAAAGTGTCGAGGGAATGAAATCATAAGGGGGAGAGGTGTTAATATAGTCTATCTTTTCTGCAGGATCTTAGAAATAATAAATATGCAAAATTTGGTATAGATCGGTCAAAAGATTTAGAAAAGTTAATATAAAGAACATATATATAATAGACAGATATTCTATTATATATATATAAATTATTATATAGTTTTGTAACTGAGAAATAGATCAACAATACGCAATGATTGACTATTTTTTACTAGTTTTGTTGTTATGTCATATGTGCTATTTATATTTTAAGAACTGATTTTATAATATGCTATTAAAAAATTTATGTATTTACTATGTTTCTAACGAAATTTACTATTGCTCCTTACGCCCGTTTCTACCAACGACGATTAAATCTGTGACCTTAACCTAAGCTTGAACTCTATTCAGACAAAGACTTAAACTTAGATTAAGGTCTAAACGACATGGATAGAAACGGGCATTAGCAAGATAGGCTTTACTAACAATCGTCTATCCTACTAAAAACATGGTAAAATTGAAAAGCATTTATATGAAAACAAAAAAAACTATAATATTCTCTCTGCATAAGAACGAAACAGTCGCGAACGATTTGTACGCGTATTATACCTCGTTGCAGCGTACCACCATGACAACGGACGTGACGGTGATGATGATGTTAAACCCCGTATTGATTATGGCAGAAACTGTTAGAAACCAATGTTCCACTTTAAATGTGATCACCGAATAACAGAAGAGGCAACTGTAGGCGCTCCATGCCGTTAGGATGTACAAAATATTTAGAAGCCGTCTCGGTTTCTCGCGGATATAGATACCCAAACCAATAAGGGAGTAGGTGACGAGTAAAGGATGTAGTGCCTGTCGTATGGTGGTGGTCATCGCTCTTGCGATTTCTGCCACCGACTGACAGCGCGACAGCTCGAACTCGTCCGCATCGATACGTCGTTCGTTTATCAGAGTAATAGAATAACATCGCGGTTGGATCATTACATTAGTGCTATGCATCATTTAATATCACCGCGATCGAAACCATTCCGCCACGCGAATTGATCGAATATTACGAGAAAGCACGCGAGATAATCAGCTCGTGGATCACGGACAGTGTCAAGATGTCGCGCATATGCAATATCGTGAACGTTAAAGAAAGACATTAGTAGTGCAGAGCAAGTTAGCAAGTAGTGCTAGTGAGCAATGTAGAGAGCGATAAAAAGGAATGATTTAGAGACTGTCGCAAGAAAAAGAGAGAGAAACAGAGACACAGAGAGACAGAGAGAGAGAGAGAGAGAGAGAGAAACAGAAAACTAATACAGGTTTAATCGGCAAATAAGAATCGGATATCGCAATCACCCGCTTCAATCAATTAGAACGTGATTTATGAATGCTGAATGGACTTTTATTTAACAGAAGGTATACACGTGTGTAACTTGTACATAATTAAAATCAATTTCCGCACATTAATGAATAACGATAAATAGTCGTTATATGAATGATACGAAAAGGCCAACAAAGCAAATGTCAAATAATGAGATTAAGGTGATGGGAACTTTTACATTTTTACAACTGCGTATCCCCGTTGATTGGCTAGTCCGAGCGTCTTCTGATCTTCGATGATCTACATGCTGCACGATGTAGTGTTATTTTCGTAAAGATGATATATAAGTATAGTTTTGGAATTCATTTGCAACATTATGATAATGAAAGTGAGAATCTTGACAAAGAACTGAAATCAAATGTCGGATACAAATGTTATTGCCCGAAGTCTCGTTGTTTGTTGGTCTGCAAATTTATAAATTCTCTGCGGATGATATTAATTACCTTATACATGAAGTTATAGCCGAAATAAAACAGGTGTATTCCACTAATCTTCAATGGCCGGAGCGTTAATTGCAGAATGAATTGGTAAATCTGCATTATATATAACGCGATCAATATTTATTGACATTGAGATCATTACAGATAAATTAAAGATATTGGGATGCAAGATTAATAAGAGTCATTTGATAAATAGAAAACTTATGCTTTTATATCTCACCTCATTGCGCTCCTCCGTAAAATAAATAAGATTCGTTAATTTATGTATAACTTCTTTAGTCTTCCGTGCCTAAAACGATCACGAATAGTTATTTATCATTAATAACATTAATAACAAAGTTATTTATATTATAATATTATAGTTATTTATATTATAATATTCTCTGTAAAATTTTGATTATAATTTTTATTTTTATTTTCTCCATGTACAGACTGTCAATAAATAATAATATGAATATCTACCTAACTGTTTTTATCAAAAGCAGTGCTTTCTTATCACAACATTAATAACGAAGTTACTTCCATATAGCGTTTCTATTATATATAATAATTCTATTATAATTCTATTATATAATATATTCTATTCTATAATATAATATATTATATTATATGTTCTATAATATAATATATTATAATATATATTCTATCATATAATATATTCTGTTATATAATTATTCTATTAAATAATTATATTATATATAATAATTTCTATTATATAATAATAAAGTTATTAAATAATAATTTCGTTGTGATAAGAAGGCATTGCTTTCAGTAAGAATGATTAGATATCCACATTATGATTTATTGAAAGTTTACACGGAGAAAATATTGTAATAAAAGTTTTACAGAGTACATTGTAATATAAATTACTAAATATAGAATAATTCAAATTGTATCCCTTTTACAGTTAAAATTGTATCTCTCTTTATAATGTTTTGTATAAAACTGGATATTTTACTGAAATTTCAGTACAAATTGCTATAGAAATAGTAAATTTGACGATCTATTTGATATGTACGATATAAAAAACACTCAAATAATTACAATAATTTCTAGTAAAAAATCAGATGTGCATAATGTTTTAAACAAATATATAACAATTTTGATCATCATTTCTGTATGGTTCAAATTATAAAATTATATTGTAATTTTTACTGCAACATTTTCTCCGTGTTTTTAAATATTTTGAATATTTTGTTTCACGGTTAAGGAAACTTTTCGCCTTGATTTTTCTCGGACTATGATTTATTGCTAAAGATACTTCAGATGTCATTCACTAGGAAGATTGTAGATGATGCCGTGACAAAGTCGAAATACCTTGATGTTGACGCTCTCGCAGACATGGTTCATTGCTATGAGTTTTACTGTGAATATAGTTAACCATGTGCAGGTGGAACTAAAAAATTTTACTTTTATTATATTGTTAATATGCTTCAGACATATTATCGAATTGTATTGTATATAAATCAGCCCGGTAAAAAGGACGAAATAGCTCATCATCTGTAGAGTTATTTGAAGTCCAAACAAGTAATTTATGCTGCGAGCTATCCGGCAAAGCTCCGAATGAAGATGCCTGAAAAGACATTTGCATTAGTAGTCGACTAGTAGCACGCGCGCATCGAATAAGTCGGAAATATTAGAATATCAATATTCTTCTCTCTAAGTCACAGTATGTCATTGTATGCCCGCGACGTGTCTTTTAATATTCGAGGGATGAGTTGCAGGACGACACACTAGTTTTAAGAGATAATATTGATGCAATCGGTTCGCAATATTCCTCGTTGTTCTCGCAAAATATCTTATTCGATTTTTCTGTGTCACCTTGGCGAATATCAATTTACATTGTGCTCCATAACACACGTTTGCGATATCTTGCGTTATCAAGGTAGCAGCGAGTGATAGCGATAGACTTTCTCCACGTGCATCTCAGCCCGCACTCGTCATTCTCTGACAGTTGTAAAATGTGGTCGTTTATCTTATCCAGTCTGGTCCCGATATAACTGTGCGATCATGAAAAAATGTTTAAAATTGACTTGAGTGAAACGGCTTTTCCAAATTTATCTCAACGAGATTAGACGGAGAAGAAAAGATTTACCTCATGAGTAACATAAACGTCATATCTGTGAAGGTGTTGATGTGGACAGTATAATCTAACGCAAAAGGCATGACTATGGCCGAAATATCACGAAACATCTCAACGCACCATAAAGCATCGCAAGTGATTGACACGCACACCGTCCCGAGCCACACAAACAACAGCCATATCGCCGAATCACGCATTTTGTCATATTCCTTAGGAGTTCCGAGCTCTTCTAGTGTATCGTCCACGAGAGCGATCTTTTTGATACACATCTCGAAATTCTGCTCATGAATGTTTTTTCCTAATTAGAAAACAACGACTTGCAGGATACACCGTGCGTCATCTGTAGCGATAATGTAGTATTTTTTACAGAGAAAGATGTACCTCGTGCGCACAAATGATGATAACTACAGACACGAATGTTGTAAACATATTCACTGTCACCATAAAATAACTCAAGGAATTAACTGTATAAGGGCCTCTTAGGAAAGTAATCATAACTTGAGAAGAGAAGTAGCTATAAATAAACCATACAGTAAACATATACAAGACACTCAAGCGACGTCTCGGATGATTGAAGGGACATCTGAGTATCCCAAGGCCGAACAAAAAGGAAGGTATTTGAAGGGGACACAAAGCCTTTTGTATAGTGTCAACCATGATCGTAACCCTCGCAATTCTATGCGCTAACTATTATGCTTTCCATGTTGGAAGTCGCGTCTGGCGTGCAGACGACACGCTTCATCGCGATGATGATACTTGATTAGATCGGTGCATTAACGCTGTTAAATCATTAAATGAGCGCGGACGTATGCTGGCGAGATAATCGATACTCGAAGGTACTTGCGATTATTCCCGAACACGTAACTTGCGCTTCCCACGCGAAATATCTACTCGCGTCGCGAAGCGCCGAAGGTACAATAATGCGTCGAATTTAATCTCGGTGAATTTCGTGTAAAGATTATTATTATTACTTAAGAATTATCGCAAATTTACGCAATATCGCGATTTAATGTATTCGTATCCTTAATGTTTGCAAAAAATCGATTACATAGGAAAAGTAATTATGAAATCTTTATTAATTAGTTCAGTAATGCTAAGTTTTTAATTAATTATACGTATACACTTATTAGAATATTTTAAAGCGAAGTGGAGAGAAAAAGAGAGAAAGAGCGAGAGAGAGAGAGAGAGAGAGAGAGAGAGAGAGAG